GGGCTTTGGGATCATGGAGGTTTTCTCTGCCCTCTACATCCTCTATGCAGTGATACTATATTCCCACATAAATATCCTTTTGATAAATATAATTTGGTGAGAGGTAGAGTTGGAGGTGCCAAAAAAGTGGCTTTTGCAAGGCTGCAACCTCCAGAGTCCCTCAGCTAAGATGGCAGCCATTATGAAAGAGATAATCTAAAGATTATGAAAGAGCCAATCTAAATAAATAATAACCTGGTAGCCATTCATAAAGGTAGAATCTAAGCAAGTAATGTTTCCAAACTGGACTGACCTTGAGGGAGCTGGGGGTGGTAATGGCCGACAGGGAGCTCTGGCGTGGGCTGGTCCATGAGGTCACGAAGAGTCGGAGACGACTGAACGAATGAACAACAACAATGTTTCCAATGTCTCAATAGTGTGCAACAACATTAGTAAACAGGATTTATACTTGTGGCTTTGCACTCCCCTCTACATATTTAGTGAATGTATGGGACACGTTATATGGTTCTTCCCTAACTGTTGTAAGTGGAAACATATGCTGATTATGAAGAAATGGTGTATGGAAAACATCTCTCAGCTAGGCTGTATTGGTTTCAGCAAGACGTATTTCCAGATAAATATGGAATAAATATGTACACGATTGCAGCCTTAGTTATATAAATATGTACATGATTGCAGCCTTAATAGTTATCACAATTAATATTTGCAGACAAGCAGTTGATTACTGTTTCTGGTTTTATGAAACTGAATTTTTATTAACCATGTCAAAACTTGCTCTCAAATACTGTTTCAGGGTAATTATCACATTTTACAGTTCAATTTCTAGTTTCAGGTATATCAACATATATCAAGTTAATTCCTCTGGAATTGTTGCTGTAGGATTTGAGGGCAGCACAATTAAATCCAGGCGAAACTTGGCTCATTCACTTTATATGCAAAGCTTAACACATCTAGATCTGTACAATTAACATAACTGACATAACTGCAGCAACATGAGCTTTTTTGTCCCATAGTTGACCTTTAGTTGTAGTTGCTTTCATTCTGAGGAAAATTATTTCCAGGTGAGCATATTGTGATCTGATAGCTGATTTTATGGTAAGTACATTTGCAAATTTCAGGGGAAACACTGCTTTCTTTGTAATTTCCTGATGTGGAATGTCATAGAATGAACACGGCAGAGGCCATTTTGATGCAATCATCCCTTGGGGTAATACAAGAGTTCACCTCTTTCTCTTTACTTTGGACTTGAAGGGGGAAAGTGCAGTGCAAAGCTACACATGGAATTAATATGGGCTCTACAGACATATTTCCTATTACTATTTGTATTACAGAGTAATTAATTTTCATCTTCTGTGCAAGAAATGCAGATTAAAACCTTACGTTTTGTGCTCTTGGGATGACAAGTGATATAAAAATTGGATTCCCATCCCTAAGCTCCTTTGTATTAATATTTTTGTGATGTACATTGGGGAGGAGATGCCTTTCAGAATTTCATCTACCCTATTTCTCACATGATTTTAATTCATTGCTAAATATTTTTTATGACAAGCCAAGCAACCTGTAAATCCTTCTGTTGCAGTTAAATATTAGATCTGTGGTATATCGTAACATGACATGATGCCACAAGAATTTGCATGTATATTATTATTTAAAATTGTTATTTTGTGATGTTTTATACTTACTATCAATGTATTTGGGTCGTTGTTTACATGATTTTAATATGTAAGCCGCTTTGGGGCCCATGAGGTAGAAAAATGGGATATAAATAAAGTGTTGTTGTTGTTATTTGAAACACAACAAGATTAGTATACAGCAAACAAGGTCACTATGCTGGTTGTTGTACTGGATCACACGTCGGACTCTTACCCGGTGTCTAGGACTATGTGGTGTATCGGTGAATAATGCATGCAGAATCCAGTAGGGTGGTCTTTTGCAACTGATAGATAGTAATTTTGTCAGCGCTGATTGTGTTTAAGTGCAGGCCAAGGTCTTTAGGCACTGCACCCAGTGTGCCGATCACCACTGGGACCACCTTTACTGGCTTGTGCCAGAGTCTTTGCAGTTCAATCTTTAAATCCTCGTATCGTGTCAGCTTTTCCAGTTGCTTCTCTTCAATTCTGCTGTCGTTTGGGATTGCAACATCGATGATCCATATTTTGTTTTTTGACACTATCGTAAGGTCATAAGTATTGTGCTCCAAAACTCTGTCAGTCTGAATTCGGAAATCACAGAGTAGTTTAACGTGTTCATTTTCTGTAACATTTTCAGGCTTGTGATCCCACCAGTTCTTTGTCGCAGGCAGATTATATTTGTGGCTATTATTATTATTATTATTATTATTATTATTATTATTATCATCACAAGATTATTATTATTATCATCATCATCATCATCACAGAGTGCATTGCATGGTCATGGTTTTGTATGGGTATTACCACAAATACTGCTACCTCAATAGTTGCTAATTGCTGCCTTTTACAAATGGTTCATTCTCAGGATAGTTCAGACAACATTTCCAATCAAGTAATTACTTTCAAAGACAATGACCTTCAAATTCACCAAACAGTCGGAATCTGAAATCATGTTAACTGTGAGATCTATTATATCATGGGGCCTTTTGCAGAGGCATTATTAGATTTTATCTCTTCTTTGAATTACCACAAAAATCCAACATTAATTAGGAAAAACTGGTCATTAGCTGCAGTGTTCAATGGGTATCATGAAAAGTACAACAAAATTGAATTTTGAATCATGTCCTTTGGTATATTACACTTTATCTTTATGAAAGTGTGATGAATAACAGTATTATCTTTCATTAGTAGATAACGTAAATAACCCAAAAAATTACTATAGTCACTTCAGTATGTTGGGAGATTTTTTAATGCAGATATATCACCATACATATACAAAAACAAACAAACCCCGCAAATGTATTTTGAACCTTAATGCGAGGGCAACACCATACAGTCAGCCCTCCAATTTCACAGGTTTTGCACTCATGGGTTTGATTATTATTTATTTATTATTATTATTCCAACATTTCTACCCCGCCCTTCTCAACCCCCGAGGGGGACTCAGAGCGGCTTACACTGGCAACAATTTGATGCCGCAACATACAAACAGATATAACAAATATAACAGCAATCTAAATAATAACAACAGTAAGTTAAAAACAATTTAAAACATTATTATCAAAACAAATAGCTACTTGCAGTCCAGTTCAACATCCAAAGTGCTGCCATGCCTGCTGTCCAAAAGCCTAGTCCAAAAACCATGATTTCAGTTTCTTCCTAAAAGAAAGGTGGGATGAAGCCGACCTAATCTCGCTGGGGAGCGAGTTCCACAGACCGGGGGGTCACGACCGAGAAGGCCCTCTCCCTCGTCCCCGCCAAACACATTTACAAAGCTGGCGGGACCGAAATTGAAATGCTGAAATGCTGCAATGCTGCCACCTCCCAAAGTGAGGGGGGGGGGCAGCTATGTGAAAATTCAAATGGCAGTTCTATGGTCAGCAGCTGAGCAAGGCGGCTGTTTGGGAGGCATTTGGGAGTTCCTCATCATCTTGTGTGCTGCAAAACTCTCTTCTGCCCAGTGTTTCCCTTCCTTCCCCAGGTAATAAATAGGGACTTGTGGCACAAAGATAGGACAAGGAGTCAGCTCTACCCTGTTTATCCCATAGATTCAGCTCCTCTTTCTGTGTTACATGAATCTGTCCAGGCAAAGAAAGAGGAACACCAAGAGGAACAGAAATGCAGCATATACAGGAAAAAGAGGAGGAATCATATCTGTGAGAGCGGGTTCCTCCACCTCTTCCAATTTGTCACATGTCTCTGGTCCTCTTCATAGCTTCCTCCTCTTGCTCCAGTAAAAGAGGGACTAACCTCATGTAAGGAGAAGAAAAGGATCTGTCTATTATAGGGTATGTGAAGTGTCACACTGATCCAGCTTCCCCCTCCCAAGGACCACAGCAGCTGCACTCTCTTCTCCCAATCAGAGATATTTGTATGTTTTCCACTTTGCCAGGGTGAACTGTGCCCCTGATTTCCACAAAAGGGAGGGACAAGTGTATTTTCTCTGCCAATATGTATTTCTCAATAGTACCTGCCTTCAAGATGAAATGTTACTTCCTGCAAAGTTTTGGATGTATACCCGGAGAGCATGTAGCATTTAACACATTGAAATTGTATTGCTGTAACCTATTAATATTTATCAAACAATATTAACACAAATATAATTGTTTAGAGTTTAGGTATCAAAGCTCATGTATTCACAAAGTGTGATACTAATGTAGCTCAAGAAAATACAACCGCTTCTTTCTTCTTTTTTTTTTTGTTTATGCGTTCAGTCACTTCCGACTCTTTGCAGTTGGTAAAAACAAGACCTGGAGCTGACTGTAGTTCAGATCACGAACTTCTTATTTAGAATCAGATTAAAGAGATCAGGGAAAACACACAGACCAGTTAGATATGATCTCACTTCTTTTATTAAAGCAAGATAAACATGGAAGCAGATGAAAATCTTATTCTGGCTTTTGAAAACAGATCATTTTTAAAGTTATTTTTAAAAGTGTAACTTATTTAAAAGTGCAGCTTATTTAAAAGGAGAATTACCAACACTAGAGCTTCTAGGAGCTGCATTTCACCCATTTATTTAACCAGGGAAAAAATGGCCAGGCATTAGTTGGGGCCACAAGAACAACCTCAGGGCCCACAGGTATCTCTAGGACCACACTTTCCATGGCTCTAATTTGAAAGGTGCTATCTATTTGCATGCATATACAGTTTTCACATTCGCTTCAGTTGAATGTACATCACAATCAAAGTGATCTTGAAAAAGCAGTTGAAATCCGTCATTTTTCCAGTGTCCTGTCTATTCGAAGATTTTACTCTTAGTGTCATTCAGCTTCATATGTGCAAGGATGTCTTTGTCTGTTTTTATCTCCTTCCCTCTCACTTTCTTTTTAATCAAATGCTCTACCTCTTTCATTTCTGTTGATACAGGATGCTGACATGCTGGCAGGGAATGAACAAGCTTGGAAAGCAGCCAAAGAAGTTATAAATAAAAAGGGAGCTCCGGAGTCACAAGAAGGTATCCTTTCCCTGTTGTGATCAGAAGTAAAGGGGTCTCCATTTGGAACCTGGGATTTACAGTGGCCAACAGGCTCTACTTATTGGACACTTGGTTTACCTATTAACTATATATCTCACCATTCCATAAAATATGCCCAAGTTATCAGATAACAGCAAATTTCACATTTAAAAAGTATTGTAAGAAACAACACATCTCTAAATATGAAATGCAACTACAGGCAGTCCACGAGTTACAAACATCAGACTTACAAACAACTCATAGTTAAGATTAGGAGTGAGCCAACAGGAAGTAAGAAAAATCTGCCCCTAGGACAGAAAATTCACTCCTGAAAGCGTTTTTCATGGGGGAAAGGTGTCTACACTGAAGCTTTCTCACCAATCCTTGTTTCCACAACAAGCCATGTTTTTCAAAATCCAATTCTCAGAAAGTGAGGTGAAATCTGAATAGGGGCACAGGCACCACAAGGGTGTTAACCCTTCCCTATGCTATCCAAAGCTAGCTAGCGCTCTCTCTCTTTCTCTCTCTCTCTCTCTCTCTATATATATATATATATATATGGAGTTACACTTTAAAATATACTTGTTCTGGCTTATGAACAAATTCAACTTAAAAACAAACCTACAGAACCTATTTTGTTTGTAACTAGGGGACTGCCTGTATCTAAAATTAACAGTCATTTTAAATATAGTTGAAATGAAAATACAGTCATCAAGCAAATGAATGAATAATATTGACTTTCATAAATTATGGAAATCCTCTTACCCTTAAAATATCTCCACCACTTGTATCATTTCGTACATACACACACACGCACACACAGAAAGAACTTTGACAGCCTTCCAGTTCATTACTTATCTGGGAGATCCATTGAATTCAGTGGAACATCTGAACAGAAGCATATGCGATTTAAAATTAGATATGTATAGGATTGCCCGTTTAAATGAATAAACTCCAATTTAACAAACTTCTTTTAGATCTTTCAGTTGTTTTTCTGTACAAAGTATGAATATCTCAATATTATGGAGTCTTGCCGTTCTTGCAATGCTTTTTCAGCTCTTACCTCTCATTCGTCAGTTTTTTCCTAGCCCAGTCTGTGTTGTGACCTGCTTTCCTTCTGACTCTTTTTTCATTCCCTCTAAAGCCTTTGTCTTTCAGTTCATAGCCTGCTCTGCCTCATTCCTCTTATCCTTCATATGACTGCCTTCTTCTAAAATAGGTTATACTTTAAAGGTGTCTGTGAATCTCTTGTTTCTTTTCAATGACAGCTGGTGGTTTCCATGTCAGTGGGTTAGTGAGTGTGCTCTATGCTGTAGCTGAATATAAAGGAGCTATCCAAAGTGCTGAATCCTATCCATCAAACTGGTTCAATGCCTCAGGCAGCTCCTATAACGTTCAAGCTAAAACCCTTGAGTGGATTCTCCACTAACACTGATACAAACCAACAGAAACCACTATTTGATTTTTCAGCAAGATTGATCAGAAGCAGAAATTTGAGATCATGACTACAATGTACTGGAAGAGGGAGATTTTTTCCCTTTGTGCTGCAGCTAAATCCAGCTGTGTGTCCCAATCAGACTAGACCTCCTGAATCAGCTGCTAAATCATAAATGAAAACTTGTGTAGAACTCATTGACTCACAGGATTTTAAACTGGTGAAATTTTAAAATTTAATTTTAAATTTTATGAATGTTTACAGCTATTTTAACTGTTGTTTAAATATGATTGTTTAATTTGATGTTCGGCATCTAATGGTTGCCTATTGTAAAGCCACCCTGAGTCCCCCCTCGGGGGTAAGAAAGGCAGGGTACAAATACTTGAAATAAATAAATAAATAAATAGTTTGACACTACTTGGGACTAGCAGTGTGATCTAATCTAATATCCAACTCCCAGCTGCTATTCATCCAGAATATTTGCTCATTGAGCAAACTGTCAGTTTGGGCAGGGGGGCAATTTTCTTCAGGACTGTAGTAGGGGAACAATGGTTGATCCACTTCTTTAGACACCATAGTTTGATCCGAATTGCACTCCTCCCTGTGAGCTGCTTGCAAAGGAAACAACAGTAATTTTTAGTTCATTTCGTTATTGTCTTCTCATTAAAACTTCAGTTTCCATATGGAAATTATTCTGACCCTCTTTCTTTGATTTGTCTCTTCCAAGCCATCGGCCTTTATTTTAAAGACAAGAATCAATGTGTTCACAAAGATTAAATAAAACAAAAATGCATATAAAACACGGAACAAAGCCATCTGCTCAATTTTCATTTAAAGCTTTGAAAAATAGAAATGAGTAATACATCTCAGGTAAAAGTACAGCACCTGACTGGTAACAAGCCAAAATGATTTTTCATCCTAAAAGCAGCTTTTGGAATGATGACACATGTACGGCTCGAGAGCAGTACATGTGAAAAAGATCTTGGAGTCCTTGTGGAGAACAAGTTAAACATGAGCCAACAATGTGATGCTGCAGCTAAAAAAGCCAATGGGATTTTGGCCAGAAATAGTATAATGTCTAAATCCAGTGAAGTCATGCTACCCCTCTATTCTGCCTTGGTTAGACCACATCTGGAATATTGTGTCCAATTCTGGGCACCACAACTGAAGAGAGATATTGACAAGCTGGAATATGTCCAGCGGAGGGCAACTAAAATGATCAAGGGTCTGGAGAACAAGCCCTATGAGGAGTGACTTAAAGAGCTGGGCATGTTTAGCTTGCAGAAGAGAAAACTGAGAGGAGACATGATAGCCAAGTATAAATATGTGAAAGGAAGTCACAGGGAGGAGGGAACAAGCTTGTTTTCTGCTGCCCTGGAGGCTAGGACGGGGAGCAATGGCTTCAAACTCCTGGAAAGGAGATACCTCCCGAACATTAGTAAGAACTTTCTGACTGTGAGAGCCATTCAGCAGTAGAACTCTCTACCCCAAAGTGTGGTGGAGGCTCCTTCTGGAGGCTTTTAAACAGAGGATGGATGGCCATCTGTTGGGTGTGCTTTGAATGTGATTTTCCTGCTTCTTGGCAGGGGGTTGGACTGGATGGCCCACGAGTTCTCTTCCAACTCTATGATTCTATGACAGTTTTATATAAGAGGCTGCACACTGTTTTTTGTGCATTTAATTTTCTGAGCTTTTAGAATTTTGTGCAGTACAAAAGACGCAATAGCTGAGCTAATCAAGTTTAGATCAGAAGCTGCATTTCTGTCACTACAAATTTGTGTAATAGTTTCAAATTAATATTAATATCAGTATTAAACTGAAATATTTGAAGGCACTTAAGACAAATGTTTGTTTAATATTAATGTTATAGTAATATTAATGTTATAGTAATATTAATGTTATAATATTAATGTTATAGTAATATTAATGTTATAGTAATACTAGAGTAATACACCCCCTCTCTCAACGTGCTTCTTGTATGCCTTCAAGGCAACTTGTGGCAAGTTCAATCATCTCATAGCATCTTCTGCCAAGATTTGTTTAGAGCTGGCCTTTGTCTTCCTCTAAGATGCCAAACTAGATGTGAAGTTGAAGATGAAATAGATTTCTAACTTCTGATTTTATTTTATTTTTACATGTCAGGAGCAACTTGAGAAACTGCCAGTCGCTTCTGGTGTGAGAGAATTAGCTGTCTGCAAGGACGTTGCCCAGGGGATGCCTGGAAGCTTGATGTTTTACCATCCTTGTAGGAGGCTTCTCTCATGTCCCCACATGGGGAACTGGAACTGGAGCTGACAGAGGGAGCTCAGTCCGCTCTCCCCAGATTTGAACTGCTGACCTGTCAAGGGTTTTACCCACTGAGCCACAAGGAGCTTCTCCTGATAAATACATAAATAAACAAGCAAACAATCAATGGGTAGCAATGGCAAGAAAACAGTTAATTCTGTTCATTCTGCCTATCTACTCCAAATTGCCCCTTGCCTGCTATTAGCTGTAGAAATAAAGATCTACAGCCATCTTATGGTGTCTGTTTTTCCTCCATGACTAGGAGTCATGCTGGGAGATTATTTGGACCTAATTAACCCTTTCTCTTTTGCTCTTATATAAAATGCTATCATCCCACAAACCACTTTTAGGATGCATTCCCATGTGTACACATACACACAATGGCAGAGACAGATTCTCACATCTTCAGTATTATAAATCATTTGACCCTAAGAAGATTTTTTTTCATTTAGCTTTCACCAATTGAATTTAAGGATCCCTATTGCAACAAATGAGTTTGCTAAATGTTACAAATAAATTCACTGCTGTGTATAGGTTTCACACAGTGATTCTCTTTTTTGGCTTTGTGATTTCATAGTGCTATATTTCTCTTCTTCCTGTTATTTTCTTGCCCACTGAAGTATCATATAAACTGAGAATATCTGTGGCAGCCTGCAAGCAATATCTTTGCTAGTGAACATGATACAGACCTAAGTGGTTAACTATTATGTGAGTCTGATTCATTTTAACATGAAGATCTTTTGTCTCTCTCTTGTTAATGTAGTGAAGGAGCTTTTGAAATGTTTAATAATTGGATCATTGCAGTGCCTTTTATCGCCCTGATCACTAATCTAAAACCATTTATCTGTGAAACCCAAAGCAGTTTTTCTCCATCTTGGTCAATTAATGCTGGCCAAAACTCTTTTTAGTCAAAACTCTTTCATGAAAGAAATGATAATTGCATATCTATAGATGATTTTTAATTTTGTATAGACCTTGAAGCAGGAGAAAGTATGCTAGAAACAGATAGCTTAATTTTAAAAAATAATGATACCGGCAGCCAAGAATTAATTGTAGCTTGAATTATCTTAGCTTTATATTATTAAATTAAAATATTCTCCCATCAACTTTTTTGTGCTTTACTAGTAAATGCAGGGCCTCCTATGTTGGAGCTTGTGAACTCTATGTAGAAATATAATGTTTTGTAGGTAAAATACTTGATGTGGTACTGCCTGTGATAACTTAACATTTGTTTTGGCTTTTTTAAATTTATCACATGAATCTATCCTTAACCTTAAGAAATGTCAGAATGGGAAGAAGTTCTGAAGACATGTGAGACATTACTAAAAAACAATGAAGCCAAGCTCCCTGATACAAACATCTACCAAATGAAAATGCTTGATCTTGCCATGGATGCCTGCATAAACCTTGGCCTTTTGGAGGAAGCCCTGCATTATGGTCACAGAACTGTGGAGCCTTACAGGTAAGAGCTAAAACTGCATTGATTGATTTACAAGGATCATTTTCAATAGAGGTGCACTCTGCTGCTTCTGCATAGTGTCAGCCAAGAAGAGTAGAGGGTTTTGCAAGGGGTATTTTTCATAACGAACATTGAGGCAAAGAAACACCTCTGCAGATACAGACTTTGCATATATGTGAAACTACTGACAGTAGTCAACCCTATTGCAGTGAAGGACTTTTGGCCCCAGAAAACCATAGAATATGCTAGTGGATATAGAGGAGTGGTTCCCAACCTTTTTTTGATCAGGGACCACTTGAACAGGGATCACTCTCCAAAATTAGTACCAAAAGTGTTATGAATCAGTTTTTGGTCAACTTTAGATTTGATTTGGTTATTTGATGTGCTGATTCAGAAAATTGCATTGGGTAGACCACATCAGCTCTAGTTTCTGATACAGAACATATGCCATGCAGTAGTTGCCATCTGCTCACCCACAGAAAACAGCAGTACTTCCCTTAGATCCAATCAGAGGGAAATATTCAGAAGTGATGTTAAGCATTTTTATGTTTACTTTGGCACTATAAGAGAGTTTCATGAGACACTATAAGAAAGTTTCATGAGTTTCACGAGGCAATGGTGTAATAAGGGTGAGGCTGAAGACAATATTTTCATTCTTGGGGACCACTGGTAGTCCCCGGACCACAGGTTGGGAACCACTTATCTAGAGAATGCCTAAGGAGGACATAGTTTGTCGACGTGACATAACCGTAGATACTCCTCCTGCAGAAGCAGGGGTTTAATATATATATCAAACCTAGTTGCTATTTGCAAAAGCTCATTTTGTTGTTGATTATTATTACTGTCTACTAAACTTATGGCAGCCCTATCAACAAAGACCTTGGGGTTATCAACTGCCCTGCTCAGGTCTTGTAGATTCAACTTTCTATATATCCTGTGTAGCAAAGTTATTGTATTATTGTATAAAACAGAATAATACATTTTCCTCTACAAACATATCAGACTCTTAATATCCATAGGGGAGGGCTTTCTCTCAGTTCCACCACCACTGCAGGCTTGTTTGGTGAGGACATGAGAAAGAAAGCCTTCCCTCTCTCTGGAATACCTTTCCCCAAAAGCCACCCTGGCCCCCTCCCTGATTTCCTCTTGACAGCTAGCAAAAGCCTTTGCATTCAAGCAGACTTTGTAGGAGCAATTGCTTACAGGAATATTTCTCATGAAAGAGGAAGAGTGCTTTCTTTGCAAACTTTTTAAAGCGATCTATAAGCTGTCATTTTAATATGATGGTTTTTACTTTCAAATTTAAATCTTAATGTTAGGTTTTGGGGGAGGGGGAAAGAGTTCTCTTGAGCCCCAGTCCAAAAAGAAGGCAACATACAAAGGAAATACATAAAGTAAAAATAATTTTAAAAATAGAAATTCCTATGAAGTGTTTACATACATCTAGAAAAAAAGCTTCTAGAAGAAGAGAATCAAGTGGGTTGGTGTGGCTTGAATCTGCTGACATTCTGTAAGTGGTTGGTTGGTAATGCATGGCGATCTTTTTCCAGCAGCATGTTCAGCCCCTTTTTCACCCAAACCACTTATGGTATGTAGGCAAACGGTGAACTCCTTGTTTTAACACTTTTGTGCAAATGGCTAGCATCTTCCTGTCCTCACTGATGTTGAATTGAGCATTATTTGCCATATTTTGGAACTTCTGTGACTAGTGTGTACCCCTCTAGATACTGTTAGACAACTACTCCCATCATCCTTGACAAAGGCTGAGGCTAGACAGTCTAATGCAGTGGTTCTCAACTTGTAGGTTCCCAGGTGTTTTGGCCTACAACTCGCAGAAATCCCAGCCAGTTTAACAGCTGTTAGGATTTCTGGGAGTTGAAGGCTAAAACATCTGGGGACCCACAGGTTGAGAACCACTGATCTAATGGGAACTGAAAGACACTTTTTCCCTCTTTGACATATGCTTTCATGGAGAGCTTTGGAACGGGTTTCATATTACTGTTCAATAACTGCTATAGTCTCAGGTAGATTTTTATGAGACATGTTCTATGTTCTGTCCTATGGTACTTCCTGTTACTACTCTTGTGTGTCTAATTAATTTTGACTGATATGTTTTGAACAAGAGATAAGGCTTCTTCCTTTGAAATAGATAGCAATTATATGGAAGGATAATATGTGTGGGAAGGTGATCAAAGAAGAATCTGCAGGGTTTTTAAAAATGTTCATACAAATGCATTTTATAAAAGAAATGAAATAGAATTAGAGTGATAGGCAAGCTCAGAAGTCATATCTTCACTGCAGCTCTTTCTATCTGTTTACACATGGAAGGGCAGTTTAATCTTCATAGAATTATGCTACGTTGTGATTTACATTTTGTGGGGATACAGTTCTAGAAGTTGTGGAGATACACTAATCTGTACACAATAGCAAAACCTATTTAAACAAAGAACATCCAAACCAAGAATATCATAGAATCATGCTGGGGGACCTAAAAATGACTGAAGAAGGCATGGACAAAGAAAACCATGGATATAGATCCAGCAGATACAGGAGTTGTACTGCTTGTTTGGTGGTAAATGTGGCTGTAGCAGGGGTTAGCATTACTGACATTGATTGTTGAGATGGATATTTCCTCTGACACTGAAGGATTTCATATTGAGGAGGCAGCAAGCTTGTTTTTTGCTGTGCTAGATACTAGGACATGGAGCAATGGATTCAAATTGCAGGGGGGCAAAATCTACCTAAATATTAGGAAGAAAGCCCTGACTGTAAGAACTGTTTGGCAATGGAATATACCTTGGAGAGTGGTGGAGTCTCCTTCTCTGGAGGTGCTTCAGAAATATTTTTTCCCGCATGTCTGGGAGGTGGACTGGATGGCCCTAGTGGTCTCCTCTAACTCTGTAATTCTATGGTTCAATACAATTATTATGACAAGTAGCCACTGATAGCCTTTTCTCTTATGTGCCTTCAGTTTGACTTATGCTGATCTCATCCTATTCATTTCTAGCTAGATTTATTCAGAGGGTTGCCATTGCAAACTCTATCTTCCATTGGCTTTCTCTAATGCTAACAGAATGTGACATGGGTTTCCATGACCTAATGGGTATTCAACCCCCAGTCTCCATGAGTCCAGTGCCTGCAACCTCTATGCAGCACTAGCTCTACTGATAACCTTTCCTTCCAGAAATTGTCTAATTTCACTCACTGTTGGAAACAGGGCAATAATTACACAAAATGACTGCCACCTTTTGAATTTATTCCCTTTCCTTACAGTCTCTTTTCTGTGGCATTTCTTTTACCCTTTAACCTGCAAAGACAGTGCTTCTGGCCAAGCAAACGGCTATTCCAAAGGGGTTGCAACAGAAAGCTATTGTAATTATATCAGTCATTTTTAATATCTCTTTCCATGTTTGCTTAGTGATGTGTAACGTACTGCTGGACTGCTGATTACAGCCACGTTAATTCCTCTTCTGCTTCCCGCAGCTACCACCCCCTGTTTGTACACACAAGTGGCCCATTCTGTTAAAATGCCTGTGATGGACTGTTTCTGGCATGGGAAGGTTGCTGACCTCCTTCATGCCTTGGAGATGGTGCTGTTAGTCACATCAGGTGCAAAATCATTTCCTGAGGAGAGGCAATTTCTGTCCAAGGTTTTTTTTTTCCAGTTTCAAGCCATCACTACAAGGTTTGACGTACCTGACAAAAAAGCTTTCCAGTTTCTCATTACAAGAAGTTGCGCCTGAAGCAGCAGGATATCAAATCCTGGGAAATCTGTTGGGGTACATTGAATTTCTCCAGTTGAATCAATCTACTGCTTGACTGCTCCTGCAGTTCCATTACAGCTATCTATTTTCCTTTTCACAGTTCTAGGAGGAGAAAAATATTCATATTTGTTATCTGTAGGGAATAACCAGAACAATGACCCAGCCAGACAAACAGGACCTGGTATGTCCACTTTTAAAGAAAGGTCCAAGGAATCAGTCTGAAACCATTTTAACTTAAGGGACCATATTTAAGGTGTGCATTTCCATTATGTGAACAGGAGAGTTGACAGCGACAAGTCTACTAAGTGCAGGTTTTGAAAATGTGTTTCCATTGCAATTGTTCCTAGGTTTTTATTGAGCAAACCTATTAGCCAAACCTAGTAACTTTCTAAAGGATTAACTAAAGGATTAGTAAAACTTACATATTGGTTTGGTTCATTCCAATAAATTGACAAATGGGTGATAAATCCCTTTAAACTCAAAAATGGAGGTTCATTTTCTTGATTTAAAGAAATTAGAATTTCTTTTTAAAAGTCACATGCATAAGAACATGCAGTCCCCGAGTTACAAACATCAGATTTACAAACAACTCATAGTTAAGAACGGAGGTGAGGAGGTGAGAGAAATCTACCTCTAGCAAGGGAAATTTACTCTTGAAAGGGTTTTCATTGACAAAAGATGTCTCAATTGAAGGTTTCTCACCAATCCTTGTTTCCATAACAAGCCACATTTTCCAAAATTCAATTACTACAGAGAAAGAAAGTAATGTGAAATCTTCTGAACAGGGGCACAGACAGCCAAACAAACACCACAGGGTTGTTAACCCTTCCTTATGCTACCCAGAGCATGTATGTACGAATATCTGGAGTTTAACTGTACCTGTTCCAACTTATATATGAATTCAACTTAAGAACAAACCTATAGAACCTATCTTGTTTGGGTTGTTGTGAATTTTCCAGGCTGTATGGCCATGTTCCAGAAGCATTCTCTCCTGATGTTTTGCCTGCATCTATGGCAGACATCCTCAGAGGTTGTGAGGTTTCTTGGAACCTACAGAACCTATCTTGTTTGTAACTTGGGGACTACCTGGCTTCAGAATACCATAAAAAGTTTTTATCAGAACTTTGAAACATTACGTATTTAGACTGCTGCTCCCAGAACATGGCTGGTCATGTTGGCTAAAGCATTCTGGAAGTTGTTTTTCAGTAAGTAACCTTTCCAAGCTGTGAGATCCATCAC